TTTTTCCTAATAAGGTTAGACGAGTTTGACGTCTGTTTCGTTTAATATACTTTTTCGTCAATGTTCAATCTTGACAAGTCCTTAGGTATATTTTAAAATCTCAAAAAATGTCAAATACCTACACCGAAAAAAATAATGTACCTAGTTGAGTTAACGTTTGCCTAAATGTCATTTTTGAAAATGTTGTTTCATTTAAAAACCTATTGGATTAATCTATATTTTGGTGTCAAAGCAATAGTCAGAGTTTGTCAATGTTTATTTGTTCATTTGACAGTTAAAATATTGATTTAACATAAACTAATTTTTTGAATTAAAATGTTTATCCTATTTTGATTTAATAGCTGGAATTGGTTGAATCAAATATTGAAATTTTTAGGATTACCTAAAAAAACTATTAAATTAACGTTTAGTTGCTCTTTAAATCCAAAACATTAAATTTGTTCATTTAACAAATTGTAAATGCTAATTTGTTAATTTTGCATTCATAAAATTGCCGTGAAGGGCGCTTCGAACAGCCACGCCACGTCATTAGACGGTGTTGATCACGTGATGTTCTTACATCTCGCCTCAGTTGGCTTACGATAGGAGTATAAGCTCAGGTAGCCGTTTGTTTTCGGTGTGTTCCACAGTGGAACTTCCACTAGACCAAATTGCCCGACACTGATTATCAGTGACTGATAAGACTCCCAATATAGGTCGAATCAGCTGTCTGTCGGTAGGTATTTGAAGTAGGTGGAACGCAGTCAAAACTAAAACTCTGGCGAGGGAAGGTTCAATTCTTTCTCTTTATATTAATTCCATAATTTAATTAACCCAACATTAGTGCAAATTATTTTAATTTAACATTTTATTGGTGTTAAGTGAATATGCTAAAAAGTTTACCTGGACATTTCAAGAAATTTACCTTAACATCTTAAAAATGTAGCACAACCATTTTCGAAATATTACTCCGACATATCAAGAATGTTTAATTAACCAGATTAGCAGATTAGAAGAAATATTCTCATTTTGTTCATTTGACTAATATTTGTTGTTCAATTAAACAATACAATTTGACATTTTCAGATGGTTAAGTAAACGTGCAAAAACCATTGCTTGTATTTAAAGTGCATAAAGAGTTGAATTAATATTTTTGTTGTTGTTTCAACAGCTTATTTCTTTCAGTGTACTATTATTAATTATAATAATTATTAGTCGGATCAATACTACAGATGTGATATTGAACCGTCGAATAATTAATAATCTTCCGTACTTCACCGGTGTCTAACATTTAAATCGAAGCTTCAGGCATGCAATATTCCCAGGGTTTAATTCACTTATTCTCATTCACCTACAATAAATGGAATCTAGCCAGAGGCGTGTAATCTCTCTCTATATAATCTAATCTAATTTCCGTATTTTGCATCCCTTGGCAAACGATTAGCTGCCGGTTGGCGAGCAATTTTGTCCGGAATTTTTCTTTTCCAACTCCCAAAATGAATTTTATGCCGTCATATATAACACGGCTGAGGAGTTTATTATGTTGATGAGGTAAATAACGGCTTAGGGCACAAAAATTCATCTTTAAATTTAATGGCACAACAAGCCAATATTTCTCTAAACTCGTCCGAAGTTTTGAAAAGTTAAATTTATTATTTAAGTAGAACTTCGTGAGATTATATTTATCGATTTCTTTAAATTTTTTAGTGCACGGAAAATGTCAATATTTTACATTGAAAATCTTTTTATTCCGCTATATGTTTTGTCGTACAATTTTGCAATATGTAAACGTGAATTTCTTGATTTGGAAACGACTTGTCAATGCTTGCTTGCATGAGGAATTTCGTCTACGAACATTTTATTGTGTATTCTGTTCAAGAAAATACAAAGTCCTTTTTTATTAATACAAATTTTGTAATACAGGGTTTATAGAAAAAACCATAATTACTTTTAATTTTAATTTATTTCAAATTTTGACCTCCGATATAATTTAATTAGGTGATTTTGCGAAAAAAAAACATAAAAGATATTTTTTGTGGAGCGTAAAATTTACTGTCTATTTATTAGCGAGTTATGAATTTTTTGGAAAGGGTTAAACAACATCATTTTTTTTTCAAACTGTTTTCAGTCTGTTTACTAATAATTCAGATGATACCCAAGCTAAAGAAAAGAATTTAAAAAATAACGGACCTTCTAATATACATTGGTAAACAAAGAAATTCAAAATGGTGGATGCGCCAACGTAATATACAAAATGGTGCATGCGTCAATTTATTTTTCTTATTTCGTGTGATGTTTTGTTTAATACATATTTGCGTGTTTAAAGTTTGTAAAGCGTAAATAGTAACCATAATAAATTATGTTTTGTTTGGTGTTTAAATTAACAATGGTTTATAAACTTTTTTAGTTTATCTAAAACTCATTGGTGTGGAAATTTATGTGAAATGTACAATTGCATTTAAACATACAAATCTAATTATATAAAACATTAAGTAGATTTTTTTATATAAATTTGGCAATACGATTTGTCATTTTAATTAAAAACGTCAGTTAGCATAATACAAGAGTTATTTATGTATTAAGGCAGTAAAGTCGTATTTTTTATCACGAATGTGTATAATAATTGCAGAGGCGAAAGCCGAGGCAAATAACCACGTAAGTGATAAAAAATGACTCTAATGCCGAGGTGCATATTACATTTTATCCGAAATCTCATTTAATAATACTATTATTAATATTGATGATCAAATCAAATGTCATTTGATGATCAAATCAAATGTCATTTAAAATACGTATACTGATTGTTGCGACGGTTATGATATATTTGCCCGCCGCGGCGATTTTTTAATCTAATTAATAAAATTAACTTAATATTTTTATTAAACAACATTTTGTGGTCCAATCGAACTCCGCGACGGTGCTTTTTTTTAAATATTATTTAGTTGCTGCTGAGGAGCAGTAGACACATCCTAAAATGTATAATGGGTTGCATACAATACCTACTATTAAATCGGCAGTAATGTTCTACATTACTGCCGATTGTTGACTACTTTACGGCCGATTTCAGATAAAAAAAATTTTATCATTATTATTTAACATAGGAATACTTATCAGTAATTGAAGGGGTAGGAAGCAAAAGGGTACAAGTGCAAAGAAGAGAAGTGGAGTTAAAAAAAGTTTTTGCTATATTCAAAAATCTGGATACTTGTTTCAATGTTTGCATTAATCAACATGTAGAATTCATATAATTTTTACGTTATCAGAAAATAAAAAAATCTGCACTTAACTTATTTTCATGCTAAAATGCACTTGTACCTTTTGCTTCTTACCCCTGCAATGGTAATTTTATTAAAAAAATTAACAATAATATTAGTATATCAAGGTTAAGTTGACATTTGTTTCTACCAACTGCAAAATAAATTCCTAAATCGCAAGTAAATTATAGATTATTCTAATAATTAAAATTATAGATAATTCTAATAATTAAGCCAAATCAAAAAATAATACAGTATCCTAAATAAGGAAACTGTACAATATTGGAAAAACTTCTAATTAAAACAAAATTTCATTCTTTATATTTTATTTATTTAAATTTGCTCCACGTATTCAAACTACAACAACAAATTTCATAATAATAATAATTACAAAACAAAACTTGTCAACCCTCACGTCAAATTTTGAAGACATTTTCCAGGTCGCAACTTTACTATATACATATAGTTATTCAATAGAATATAAATTGAGTTTCGCAAAGTTCGCCATTAAAACGAATTAATAATTTTCCACGGTCTTTTATAAATATAGTAAAGTTTTAGTTCGGTTAAAAGTTTGTAACTTTTAAAATTCTTTATAAGTGTTTGTATGTTGGTGTAATTAATCATTAAAGGGAACAAATAAAAAATTTTACATTAAAAAAAAAACTATATTTATACAAGGTGTTATGTATTTAATGTAATATATTAAAATACTAAATACCTTTTGTCATAAGGTGTAACGGAAAAACATTTAAAAAAATATTTTCCCAGAGATAGAGAAAAAATATGCATTAGAAGTTTTTTATATTTTTTTTTTGATACGCCACTGGTGAGTACATAGAAATCAACCAATAAAGAAGCTGTGCGTTGCCAGTTGTAATTTTTTTTTTTTGCAAAAAATAAATAAAAACAACAAATACAAAAGTTTTATGCCCTTAAAGCTCTAATACCCTTCTGTATTTATTTACTCATCCAGCTATTAGCTTAAGCAATGATTAAAAAATTTAGTACCTATTTTAAAAACTCCATAACCACAATATTAATTTTTTCATCGGTTTTTTTCTTTCCGTTTACTCAGATGAAATTAGAAGAAGTTCACAGGTTAAACTTTAAACATTCAATTTGTGTAAATAAATCCAAAAGCACTTCCCTTAGGGCCGGTTTATCAATGTCCAGTTAAAGTTGCAGTTAGTTATCTGGTAGATAATTGCCATGGATACCATTGTTCTCACAACGATCGATAAAGAATTTAACTGTCAGATAGACTAACTGGAACTTAACCAGAGATTGATAAACCGGCCCTTAGTTAAGATATTTACAATTTGAGCACATAACCTAAAATTTAAAAGAAATACAATAGATTCTGTCATAAAAGTTGACAGAATTTGTTTGAATTTACCTTCATTACAAAAATGACATAATAAACAAATAATAAAAACGCCAAATTAACATTTTGCATTGTTGATTTTGTCATTTTTGTAATTAAGCCAAATTTAAACAAAATTTGGCAACTTTTTTGACAGAATCTGGAAACACAAATAAATTAAATTAGGCAACCAGATTAGCCTAAAGTTCCTAGTCGATCAGTGGTGTACTTTTTGGTGGGATAAAGGTTATTATAAATTATTTTATAATTCGATAATTCATAATAGAAAATAAAATCACTTAGATTCTTTTATCTTGCAGCTTCAACACTCCATAATAAAGTACATCTTTGTTACAGGTCCCGTGCTAAAAACCACCGAAATCTAAAGCAGTGATGAAGGCATGAATGAAGCTTTAGCCTTCCTATTCTTCTTAACAACAGTTTCTTTAACAAAATCAGAAAATGATTGCGCAGCTAGATTTCTATCTTACCCAGTCGCTCCGACCAGATTGAGCTACAACTCGAGCTTCAGCTACATCCACCAGAATGTCCATGGAACGGAACAATGGCAGAATATCACCAGGGAGATATTCGCGAGGAACCCCGACATAGAAGGGTTGATTTTGAGCACTGAAACAAAGGCGATCTTGGCGCTTAATATAAAGGAACGTTTGAAAATATTTCCGAATAAAACTTCGGAGACCGAGATGTTCTGGGATTCGCATAAAGCTGCAGATTTAGGTTGGAACAAACCGTTCAAAGACTGCAATTTCTACAGGAACCAGTGGTTTTATGTGTACAGCTTTAAGACTGCCCCCTTTAGAGTTAGTTTATTTATTAAAATTAGGTTAAATCAATGTGATAAAGCGCAGGAGGAGATCTTCAATGGGACTCATCGCTGTGATGAGGAGTCTTCAGAGGTTAGTCATTATGGTTACAATTGATACTGATAGTTTAGATAGTTTATAGTAAGAAAATTGAATGTTTAAACATGGTAATACCATGTTTAAACATTCAATTTTCTTACTCTCTTCAAGAAAGTTTCTTGACCCATTACTGGTAATATTTATAAGAAAAAAATTGAACCTACACCTCTACAAAGTTTTTTGGCGAGGTATAGGTTCAATTTTTTCTTATAAATATTACTAGTAATGGGTCAAGAAAGTTTCTTAAAGAGACTAAGAAAATTGTATGTTTAGATTCTAGATTTCTTTAGGCCATATTAGTATCTGTGATACAATTTGTCTTGGTTGCATTGAATGTACCGATTGCGGCAAAGGCCACGTCGTTAGACGGTGTGGATCACCTGATGTTCTTACATCTCGCCTCTGTTGGCTTATAAGTTGGCTTATAAGTATATAAGCTCAGGGAGTGTTTTGTTTTGGGTGTGTTCCAGTCCACCAAGTCGCCCGACACTGATGAGACCCAATATAGGTCGAAACAGCTGTCTGTCGGTATTTAAAGTGCGTGGAACACACTCAAAACAAAAAAAATTTGGCGAGGTGTAGGTTTTTTCTTACAATGTTTGGTTTGCATTAAAAAAAAAAGATTAAAATAAAATCAAGTGCAAAAGTAGTTAACTAAAGTTTTTGCTATTTACAAAAATCTGGATACTTGTTTCAATGTTTGCATTAATCAACATGCAGAACTCGTACAATTATCAAGTTTTTAAGAAATAAACAAATTATTTACATAACCCAATTATATCCTAAAAACTTTTGCAAACGGCATTGTAGAAGCCAGTCATTAAATTCAAGTTATCAAGATGTTTCTCTAAATAAACTTTTTAGTGGGAAAAACTTTTCTCGAAACTTTAATAAATTGTGAATCGTTATCTCACTCTTGGTCTAATATCACAGAACAGTAAGTCAGACAGACAGGAAAATAAACGACAGCTCTGAATGCACTACATTGCGAATAATTGACTAAATTTTCCGCGCGTACCTAACTTTATTGGACAGACAGCACCCGGTGAACAAAACACTCACTCTTCCATATTCATATTAACTTTTCAACTAGACATATCACATATGTCATGTTACACGAAATTATTATGCTTTGTAAAATAAAACAGAAAACCCTTTTCTATAGTATTTCCGTACGAGAGCACTTCAATTACAACTCATGTCAGAAAAATTAGAGAAATTCCAAGTTCTAAAAGTACTAATCTTCCCCTTCAAAATCATGTACGTGTGTAACGAGCAGGGCACGTTAATAATTAAAAAAATATAATTAAACCACAAAAAACTACCTTAGGACCCTTTTTGTTGGGAATACAGTTCTGGATACGTTACTACTTGAGCAATTAAAAAGATATTTAAAAGCAAAGAAAAAGTATTAAATTAAGAAAAAGTTTATTAATAAAGGCAATTAATAAAACAGTTACTATTATTACTACTGTACATTAATAATATAAAAAACAGTTTGAAAAATATCATTGATTTAAGTTAATAAGGTAAAACCTAAATAAAATATTAAAATAACAAGTGGTACAGTAGTGAACAACGGTAATGCAATTTAATTGTACAGTCAAAAATAAAAATACAATCAGGTATAATAAAGTAATAAAAATAAGTCAGTGCAAATCAAAATAAAATGATTATCAATAATAATAAAATACCTAAGACAATGTCACAAAAACTTACATTATGGGCCCTACCTTATCAAAACCGTTAAACAATAGAATAGTATATTCTGTAACAAGTTTGGAATACGGCATATTCCGCTCGAGTAAAAAAATTGTCACACGAGCCGAAGGCGAGTTTGACGGTTTCACGATAGGGGAATATGCAATTCCAAACGTGTTTCCATAGACAAATAATTTAATTGGAAGAAAGTGAGGTTGGATCGGTCTAAAATTTGTTAGATATTAAAAACAGAGATGTCGCCACGAGTGTTTATTCTGTTATCAGATGATAGAATATTTCATTCTGTAACACTTTACGGAATATATGTCATTCCATAGATAAAAGTGATATTAGAAGGGCCATATTCCATAATAGGAGTAGAAAAAGAAAATTTTAACAAGTACCTATTTGTTGTGCAGATATTGAAACAAAGTCTCAACATATTAAATAATGAATATCAATTTATAAAATAAATAAAATAAAATAAACTGTGGGAAAATTTCAATATAATCTGTTAACGTAAATGTAATATAAATATTATAATTTTAAACTTAAAATAATGATAATAATAAATTTGTAATTTCGTTTGTCCAACCACAACCATTAAGATACAAAGTTCAGCTTATTCCTTCTTTCACAAGAACAAGATGAAATAATAGTAAAATATAGTTTAAATTAAATATTAAATAATTAACCACTCATTTTAATATTTGTGAACTTAGATTATAATAGTTACAATGAAAATAAACATACCTAGTACAACCCCCTTACAACAATTAATGAATTCAACTATTCTCTTTAAACAGCCAAACGAAACTGTCTAAAATCTACGGTCTTATCTATAGGTTTTCTATAAGTTTTTTTTTAATGTTTATTTTTAAAACTAGGAACTGTACCAAAACTTGCTTGTTTGGTATTTGGTCACAAATTACTATACCATAATAAACAAAATAAATATACCTAACACATGATACAATTTTAAAACAAATATTTAAAATTTAATCTCATATTTCGCTTAAAAATTTAAACTACCAAATGTTAAAAATTAACTGCCCCATTTATCGTTCCCATTACACGTGGGAAACCGGGAAAGCTATTTGTATACAGAAAAACATGTTAATATTTTTTTTAGTGTGTTAGTGATAGCGATTCAGAGCAAATAGACCAATATCGCTGCGTTTGCCGACAAGGCTACTATTATCAGGGAGCTAATTCGACTTGGAGAGGATTCAGACCGCGAGAGGAGGACAAATCTGATGGAATCGATTCCCCACATTTGCAGAGGTTAGTACAACCTATATTTATTCTGCACTCTATGCTAATGCGTAAAGTAGATATACGCTTTCCTAAAACTTTTTTCACTGAATAGCTTTGGATTTTTGTGTGAAAGTTTAATTTGAAACTTGTTGACTTGTTTATTTTTAGAAATTCAATATCGAATGTTCAGTGTTCATGTTATAAAAGTGTTGATACAAAGTTTGAATTCCATTATTCTCGAATATGCGGTGTGGACTATTTAAACAAACAAAAAATAACCATTAGACATTTTTGACGAAATATCGTTTGAATTATTCAGCTAAACACTTCGCCTCATCGATTTGCAAAATCGAATCATCCTCTTAAAACATTAAAAATCCATTAATACGTATACGTTTGTAATTAATGGTTTTCCCCCATGCCGATGCGACACTAATGCCTCTATGGCATCATCCACATCGGATGATTAATCAAATCACCCGTGTTTCTTCAATACGCCACCTTTGATGTTCATACAAAACGAATGATAAATGCGTCGGCTTGAACCTTGGACCAAAGAGATGGGAGAGGGTTAATCCATATCAAATCAAACAATTTAATGTAATAATTGGTTTAAACAAAAATCACTTTAAATAGCATAAAATTTACAATCTTTTTTGTTCTACTTAATTTTAAATAAACCAAAAAAATAGGTAGGTAAATGATTTTAAAAAAACTCTCTTTTAAAATGTAATTTTTTTTTTTAAGTTTTAAATTGTCTAACTAAATACTAATAAAGTCTCAGTGATGAAATTTTATCTCTTATAACAACATAATTAAATAATGTTTTCCAAAAATTTTGTGTACCTTTTGATATATTTCATATTGAAAATACCTTATTTTAGACAAATCGCAAATTTGAAGACCCATTAAAAAAAGGATGCACTCTAGGCCTAGAACTTTTTAGTGAAGTAGTATACTATAAAAACTATATTATTTACTAGGCCTATCTCCCTTCTCTTACATCTAAGGTCCAGCACGTGCTTCATTTATAGCCAACTTAGATGAGATCGATAAAAGAGGCCTACCCGATAAAATATTTCTTTCACGAACGCGAAAAGGGATTGACAAGCTTACGAATTTATTTAAGCGTTTATATTTGGGAATTTATAATGAACAAAATTAAACTTTTAAACGGGGCAAACTCCCAACTACTTTGACAGTCGGTGGCGGTATTTGAATTTTGGATGGGTTAATTTAGATGTGTATCAAATATTAACTCAACCAATTAGAAATATAAATTAATATTTGCGGATGGGCGACTCTTTTAATCATGATAATAATTGTAAAGCCTAGGGATGCCAAATCGTTCCAAGCATTTGAAAGTTGATTACAAAATTGGGTAAGAAAGTTACATGAAATATTCGAGTATACTACACACAGTGTATTTTTCTATCACGTATTTTCACCATTCGTTTGCCGAAAAAATTCTAAAGGTGGGTATGTATGGTATTGGATAGTTACAGTTTGATTTATATTCTTGCAGCTCGACTGATAAATGTCTATTCCACAAATGGCATGCTAATGCAGATTGAATAGTTCACGTTTTTAAAGGATAATATAACGGTCAGGAATATAAAGTATAGTGTGCATGCTGTGATTGGTTTGCAGTGCTTTAAAAGTTTAAATGGATTTTTGTTAGGATATTTTTCCTATTGTACACGTGTACAGATTTATTACTTATGGGATCTGGGGATTTATTTGCAATATTTAATGTTTTTTAATGACCTTTGGATTTATATTTTAGGTGAGTAGATTCGTTCATGTTTTAATGATTTTTTGGTTTATCTTTTTATGTCAGAAATTCGCGAAAGTTTGTTTGCCTTTCAATCAGCAACGGAACAACGTGATTTTTGCATATAGATAACGTATGTAACCAAAGTTTTGAGACACATTCTTTATCACTCTGGAATTGCCCATCTAGTTACCGTTGCCAAAGTGTCTTCATTTAGGCCTTGTCAACATAAATAATGACAGTTCTATTAATAAAACTTATGTGTCATGGCGTACAAAATCAAACTCCGAAATAGTATATTACACTACAAGGGCAGAAAGTGTGAGATTCCTGCACTACTATTTTTCTTACTACCTCGGCCGAAAATACAACCCGGCCGAAAATACAGGAAAAAATTAAATGTGTATTTATGTACCTATCTCCATTTGAAGAGCTTGATAAATAAATAACAGTAGGCCGTGAATTCAGCGGTGCCAATACAGTAAACATAAAACGTTGTAATTTAATTAACAAATTACTACTTTATAACAAATAAAAGTACCATTAAACACTTAAAACAACATAAAAAGTAAAAAAGTAAAAACATAAATTGTTTATTAAAATTGTCATATTTTTGTGTTTCTCATGTTGGCAGTACGAAATTTGAATGTTAAGCACACGACTAAAAAATTTTTACTCCCGCTATTAGAGTGTGCGCGTATAGCTTGACCAATGCATAAAACGTAAACTTTCTGCCGTGAAATCGGGGACGAAACAACGTATTTTGAGTCGAGGTAGTAAGAAAAAGCATTTATAATTTAGTTGACCGAATGCTAAAATTGGATATTGTTAACATGTTTCTAATATCTCCCGTACAACAATATATAGAACAATAAAGAAATGTGAGGAAGGCATGAACTTACCAAAATGCGGAAGGCCTCTCATATTGACAGATATTACAGCAGCTAGACTAAGAGAAAGTGCAAAAGAAAAAGTTGTCGAACACGAACACGAAGGAAGGCGATTTAGAGTTTCACCATGACAGTACATCGGGAAATTGGAAAGTGGAATGTCATTTAGAAAGAGAAGAAAATATACAGCTGCGCAATTACAACGAAATCCACGGTGTTGTCGAGCACTAATAGATTCAACACTTGGAACTCTGGAACGTTAATAAAAAACCTGGATCCTTTTGAGGATTATAATGATGACATCTTATGGAATGCCTTAGATAAGGTCGAGTTAAGGCTGCCATTACAGAACTACCTCTAGGTTTACAGAGTACAGTCTGTTAAGCTGGCTTAAATTTCAGTGTTAATATGTCTTGCTAGAGCTCTCATAAGAAAAAATAAAACACTTATATTGGATGAAGCTACCGCAAATTTATATCCTCATACAGATGCTTTAATACAAACTACAATAAGGGAAAAGCTTTCGGACTGTACAGTTCTAACCATAGCACATAGACTGCATACCATCATGGATTCAGATAGGGTTCTTGTGATGAATGAAGGATGTATTAAGGAGTTGGTAGTCCCTATTTTATGGTTTGGTTTGGTTAGTCAAACTGGTAAATCTTTGACGAAAAATTTTATTGAGATTGCAGAGAAGGTATGGCAAATCTTTGTTCACTGATTACATAAACCTTTTTTCAGAGTTACTTTGACCAAAGAAAAAATCGTAATCTAGTCGAATAATGCAATAAATAATTGTAAAAAAACATGCATTTTAAACAATCGAGTCATTATTTTAGACGATGAAAAATATTTTAAGTTATCTAACTCTGAGATAAAAGGTAATGATGGATTCTATACCGAGGATTTCAATGCAGCTCCGGAGGAAAGTTTACGATAAAGGATGGGAGGCAGAAAACGAAAAACACCTAAGAAGAATTTACCAAAAGATTCGTGAAATCGATGTTGCCACCGTCCAATCACTTATGAGGCACTTAAGAACAAAATTGCGAAGGATTGAAGACCAGGGGTCGTTAGCTGCATTATAATATATTTTTATTGTTATATAATAATAATAATATATAATATATAATAATATATTAGTTGTTTAATTATTGCCTTAAAACTCTTGTCACATACGTTAGTATATGGGCCGAAGAGTAACATAGGCAACTTTTTTGTTTTTGTTTACTGTTTGACCTTTGACCTTTTAACACTACCGTTGACCTCTTGTCATTTGACCTTTTATCTTTTTTAAATAACACATCCAAAACATTTTTTTGAGCTTTTATGATTTTCTTTAATTTAAAATTCCAAGCCTGGTATTATGTATTAATTACATCTGGGATCTGGGGATTTTTTATATTAACCACTGGCAATCCTGTTAAAAGTTTATGAAACTACGATAACATCTCTAAAGTTATTTTATCCCACTTCAAATTTATATTTGATTTCATTAGTTCAAAACATTTCACGACGCAATTTTATCAAGCTAATTTAAACGTAAAATGATAAATTAAACCTGAAAAGATCTAATTACTTTGAAGATGCCCTTTTTGTAAATTATCTCGTGTCGTTTTCATTCTACTGTCAAATTAACATTCATTGTCTGGAGTTTATGTTTCATGTTTATTTAGTTTAAAATTCTTCAAAGAATGCTTTTCATAATTGTAACTTAGCTTTTATTTATATACCTAGCGATAAAAAGTTTTGTCAAAAATATTATAGACCCTAAAAGTATGTTTAAAGTTATTTTCCCAGAGATAAATTCACCGTGGTGTCGATTCATGTCAATCAGGTTTTGGTAGTTATCCAGGCCAAAGTCATTTTGTCTTCAAAGCTTGTCTTTATACCAATTAGAACCGAACTAGATCAAAGGGCGAGAGTTCTTGATTAATTTAGGCCGCATTGGGTTAAAACGTTTAAGGTTTCTAAAGTTTAACCAGAAATGCATGATCCAAAGAAAAACGTAGTTTACCTAATCTTAAATTAAGACTCTTAATACTGAAGTAATACTTAACAAACTACAGTATTTTTAGACTATTGTTAACGATGTCATTTTGCATTGTTAAATTTGTCATTTTTAAAAATTATTTAAAACACCCTGTATATTAAATTCTTTTCATACAGAAAAATTAATAAAAAACCTGAACATTCTATGGAATAAACGTCATATTAAATCAGAAGAAATAATATAGGTATTGGTAGTAATATTTCTGGTAATCCCGAAAAGCAATATAAATTAGTTACAGACGGAAGCACAAATGAAAATTCTTTCTCTAAAACCGAAAAAGACGCAAATTAAAAAATTCACCCTTCACTTTGCCATTAAATATTAATGACATTTCTGGTGGCGTATTTATCATTTAAATGGTTTTCACGCAGATGTATTAATAACACAATATGCCAGCCTAATATGGGGAATTCTTTTTTTTTATATATAACTTTGCACCCGTCAGACGTTTATGAGAATTTTTTGCTGTTGCGTGAAAATATTTCATTACTTTTTTGAAAACTTCCAGCAGCTTAAGCAGTCCCTACAGCACTCATTATTTCTGTTGCAGGCAACGTTGCAACGCGTTGGTAAAAAAACATTCTTAAAAAAGTAAATTAACAAACAAAATGTGTAATTTTATATACAGGGTGTACCATAACCAATGGTACACAGTAAAACTGTAGATTCCTTGGGTAAAAATATTACGATTTGACCAAACTTAGGTTAGTTCAAAAGTTGTTATTAACCAAGATACAGGGTATTCCAGTAAAAATTTAATTTTCGATTTTTCTAATTAACTTATATTTAAATCAATATTTTTGCATACAATTTTGTGATTAGGGAATTTTTAGGTCGAGAAACTTGAATTTGTTAATAATTTTAATGTAGATTGTGTACATAAAAGCAGCCAGTGCCGTGCTTAGATTTTGTTTAAAAAAATCGCTAATATGAATTCATAAAAATTTACTCTTAAAAACTGACATAGTAGGCCTTGTATTTTGTACTAATATGGCGTTTTTTGTTCCAAAAATACACTTTAAAACAAATCCGGTTAAAATCGCACAATAAATAAGATTTTACAGGGGTGAGTCGCAAACAAATGGGTCACACTGTATATGGCAATATTGAGTGCTGTAGGGGTGGGCTAAAAGTCCTTAACTCATCTAATTTTAGCAATTTCTCAAATTCTTAAAAAAATAATTCAATCTAAAATGCAAATAGATATTTTTGTTTGCATTAAATTAACTCGTTCAAATAAAGCTTTTAACATTTAAGTGCTATAAAAACTGCAGTTAAATTTTTAATAATGCAGCAGATTTTACAGAACTTATCCCAGCTTTTTTCCCGTTTCGTTTTTAATAAGCATTTTAATATTTGAAACAGGTAAAAGCATCTTTAATTAAAAGTTTTTTAGTTTAATAAGTACTGCCCGGGTGAAAAGTTAAATGTTATACGGAGTTTCCCAAAAGGTATTGATTTTATGGCACAATGCGCACTTTTAGACATTTTACCATACATATAATAAGTTAATAATTGTTACAAGGTTTTCTATTTCTTCTTGAAAACACGTCAAGCGTGAAAAGGGGCGCAAAGGCAAATATGTGTGTAGAAGGGCCTCTTTTTCTGTTATGAATTTATGTCGTTGCCTTTGAAAAGTTTTCGTTGATGTAAGTGGCTTCTTTTAAGAAAAGCTGGAATGTCTTTTTTTTTAGCGCAAATTGTGTGGGGAAAACCGACTCGGGAAGTTGTTAAACGAGATAAGTAATTTATATTTGTATTGGCATCAAACAAAGTGACAAATTCTGTGATTTATAAGTTGACGTCAAAAATCTTCAAAAATTAACCTCAAAATTGATAAATATTAAATCTGTCGGATATCCATTGACAGAATATACGCTAAAGCAGCATCGCTAGCACCACTCGGCCGTTATCATCGTAACAAAACTACAACTTTTAATAATCAGCTGTCAAACGCTTATGTTACAAACTAGTGTTTTTGAAAATAAAGCCGAAAAATGTTAAAAAAACATCGGAATAAAAACCGTGGCACGATGTATTGTGTTGTTGGGTGTATTTTGAGAGGAAATCCTAGGTTGAGTTTTTACCGGTTTTCCAATAAACAGTGTTAATCCTAATGAAGAAATAAATGTCATACAGCCCCTGTAAATACAAATTTTATCTATTAGATACAATAAATACACATTTTAGTAAGGATAAACGTGAAAAGTTCTGTAAAAATATTCTAACAAATAAGTCGTATAAATTCAAACAGAATTTAGCAATATTAAAAGCGTTGATTAAGAAAGTCTCCACCCAACAGTACCATTATATTATGTATTATACATATTATTTTGCCATGAATTCGTAGGTATATTTTGTTGTTTAAAATGCAGTTGTCAGCGTTTTTAGAGAACTCAAATATAAAAATGTTCGATTTTAAGGTTATGTTTGTGCAACAATTATTTCTTAAAAATGTGCAAACTTAAATATAAATTATATTAGGTAAAGATATCATTAGTTACTTCTGCACCAACAAATGTACTTACCGAATTGGATCCTTTGGCAAAACATGAAAATGCAACGATTTAGTTCTTGAATTTTATTTACAATTAAAAACACGATAATTTACCATGATCCCTTAGATAAAATACACACACTAACGTAACATGTAAGCATTTAAGCGTTGACTTTCTTAATCAATGATATAAGGAATTATCAATCGAAATCGAGTACTAACCCAGTTTTTAGGTTTTAGCTGTTGAATTGAACAAACTTTGTCTGGTAAGACTTCTGCCTTCCTCTCTTTTGTGAAAAACCTACCTATTTATTTAAAAATGACGTGCAGTTTGTATGCTTTAAATGTATTTTTGACAATTGACAAGTCCACCAGATGGCGCGGTTTGCGAAAACCCGATACTTAGCTTATCGTAATGAAACATTTTTATCATAATGAATCTCTGTATAGTTCAGGTAGGAAATGTCCAATAAACGAATTAAAGTATAGGAGTAAAAAAAATATATTTTGCATGAATAAACACATTTTCCTAATATGCAGCTACTTGGTTAACAAAACTGTTCTAGTGTTTACCGCATATACCGTTGTAATTTTGATCTTGTTATTGTTTATTATGCTCAAAGGCAAATATATTGTCGTCTAGGGAAAACCTACACAGTGCATTAAAATTTCAGTGCATAAGTGGATTCAAATTTCACATAAACATGCAGCAATGTTTATGGCATTAACTGTGTCCATATATAGATAATTATAAATATACAATATAATATATTATTATATAATATCTCGTCAAAAAAAATTTATAATATACATATATACTTTCTCTGACTAATATAAGTTTTAAAACTAAACTAATATAGGCAACTAACATCACCTTTTTCTTCAAGGTGCATAAGATGTCCAAAAGAATGCAAAGAGGAATGTGAACCAAACGATCTTTGCAGTGCAAAAAAAGACGTTTTCATCAAAACTGCCATCCTCATCATTCAATTAATATGTATGGGGATCACTTTAATTTTAGCCCTTGTGGTTTTCAAACAGAGAAAAACAAAAGTAAGTAGATCATTATCATTATCTTTATTAAAGCACATAAAGTTGGTTTTTATTAAGGCAATTTTATGTCGTAAACCTATTTTTTTATTTTGTTTTATTATAAGGGCCTCAATAAATGTTCAGAAAGTTAATGGGTCGTGCGTAAAAAAGCTGCGAATAAAAAAGTTTTATATTAGATTTAAAATTAATTTTAAAATATGAAATTTACAAACCCCTAAAACATTTTTATATCTTTCAGTCAATAGCCACTGGTATGTGGACCATTCTGGAAACAATCCTTTTTGGAATTTTCATCCTATACTCTACGGTAAGTTTTATCATTTTATCTTATAAGAATGGACCCCAAAATGTTTCGAATAACATTATAAAACCCTTCCTTCCACATAATAATACCGTTAGAACCGTTTGGCACGAAATATATATCAATTTAACTTTTCCTAGTTCGCAACCCCAATCTGTTATGGATATTTAGAAGGACTTGGGAGTGTATTGACTTGTTTTATGTTGGGGAGACCTAATTTACATAGTAAAGGATTTTTTTATATAAAATTGTATTTTTCTAAGGTTGTGGTAAAGATCTTTGAACCATCTGTAGTGCAATGCATGCTGGAACCATGGGCTCGAGAAGTTGGGTTCATCATATGCTACGGAGCCATAATACTTAAACTGTACAGACATTTGATAGAGTTTAGGACCAGGAAAGCTCATAGATGGGTTGTGAAGGATACAGACCTCCTCAAATATTTGCTGATAATGATCATGTCGGTGTTGACGTATATGGCAGCTTATACCTCGATTACCTTGAATTTTATGCAGGAAAATTATAGCTTGTTGTTTCTTGGAAAGACTAACCAAGGGCTTCACTATCAAGCTTGCAAGTCGTTGTGGTGGGATTATGTTACGGAGACTGGGGAAATAGTAATACTTATTTTTGGTATACATTTAAGCTATGCCAGTAGGAATGCAAGAACTCAGTTTCATGTAAGTATATGTTGTTTTTAAATCATTGTAGGTAGCAAGATTTGTGATTTTGAAAAAAAGATATCGACTTTTTTAGCACTTTACTGTCCCACTTCCTAATACAGATTTATCGAATTACCAAAGTTTCCTGAATTGAAACAAGATGCCATTTTAAACTTTATTTGAGTAGATTTATTAAATTCACTCAAGTTACAATCCCGAAGGGATTCATATTAGGCAAATAATTTCTGGTGAAGGAAAAACGTATTTTCAAATGCTGGGAACTTACCACGTGCGCATGTAATACATAAAAAAGGTTTCCTTTAATTTTAAATGAGGAAGAAAATTGTTTAGATAAAACATGTTACCAAAATAAACGTAAACGAAACATTATATTTATAACGTGTTTTGAACAATTCCATTCAAATAGTAATAATATTTATTTAATCAAAGAGAATACAATAAAAAGAAAATACATTACATTGCTTTCAGCGGCAACAAACAAATTTTGGCCCGCCATATAAATTTCACTTTATCCATCCAGACTTCTGTTCGGCACCACTTATCATTTGCTTGGCATAATATTTCACTGGAAAGTATCACTTTATAAATTGTTTACTCCTTACCTTACCGCGTTTGCTGAAGCAAAGACTGAAAAGATACATTTTCCTTTTTGACAGGTGGTTTCATCCAGACAAACGGGAGCCGAATTTATAAATGTGCATTTCCAGGTTATCCTGATTTTATTTAATGAAAATTAAAATCGTGAGTGTGGTAAAATGCATTTACTGGATAGAAATGACATTGTACATTTAATGACTAGCGTAATAATATTTAGCTTACGCCACGCACAAAATTTCCAGGTCCATGAATTACATTGCTGATCCAGGTGCAATAATTATAGCAAACAATGGGGAATGGAGATGATTTAGAAATATATTCTATACCAAACAATAGTGAATTATGCCGGGCTTTAATGGTATCAGTTTCAGTGCACGACACAAATCGATGTAATAGCTTTGTTAAGTCAGCATATGTGATAGATTTCAGCCAATAAACCTGGGGTCAGAAATATTTTCAAAATGTTTTATTTAAAAATTTCAATTTAAAATAAATCATTTTGGAAATATATTTTTCCCCTCTAAGGTTTATTATCTGAAATATATCACATATGCTACCCATGCACTCAAAACATATTTTTTATTATAAACTTACACTACTTGATTTAAGTGTATGGTACGGTTACATATACATTTTTGCCAGGAGACTTTAAATTTCTTGATGACGCTAATTTTTATATTCATTTTATTAGATTTAACTGATGGTACACTAAACTCAAGAGAAGACAGGCTTGATTTACTATTATTGTATTGTTTAATCAAAATACAACTTTTCTTAATTCAAGAATATCATTTTCTTTTTGTATAAGTATACCTGGTTTGTTTAAAGAATATCATTTAGGTTTTTAGTAAAAAGTCTTACATAAAAAAATAATCATTTGGTAAAGCAAATAACGAAACAAGGCACATTGCTATAGATACAGTTTATTTATTGATAAAAAGTATATTTCTTTGATTGGTCAACCATATATGATTTAAAATGAAGGTTAAAATAAATAACGTTTACAAAAAGTTGGAATCTCATACAATATTTTATTCAACAACCACAAATAATTTAAAGCTAATTTTATTTCATATTTACAGTTTGAAACGGTGAGACAAGGGTACGTTTTTTAACCTTTATTTTTAAAATCTGTTAAAATTTTTCATTGGAGGAAAATCGTGTTGAGCTGTGTAATAATATATATATTATTACACAGCTCAACACGATTTTCCTCCAATGAAAAATTTTAACAGATTTTAAAAATAAAGGTTAAAAAACGTACCCTTGTCTCACCGTTTCACGAAATCGGGTTATTTAAATTCTTTTTATTTTAACCTAAACAGATTTTTAATTCACTATTTTCTTATAAATAATTTTTTTCTTCAAATATTTTATGTTTTTAAATAAAACAAAAGTTATACTTAAATAAAATAACAATTTTAATTTTTTTAAGTAAAAAAAATATTTCTGGTTTTAATTTTTGTTTTTTTTTAACAAAACAACAGATTTGTATTTATCTTATATTAAATATAATATATTTAATATAAGATAAATACAAATGTGTTGTTTTGTTAAAAAAAATCAAAAATTAAAACCAATGTATAATTAAGTAAGTTTGACGATTATACATTGCTTTAGAATCTATATAATAATAATAATAACGTCTTTATTGAAATAAGGAAATACACTATTCTAAATGGCGGAATTTGAATTTAAACATTAAAAATGTAATAATTCATTCTTACATTCAACCAAAATTCTTACATTCAACGGAAAAAAATATCGATTTGAAATTTAAAAGCGTTTATAATACATTTAAGTCTATTTTTTTAAATATTTTGAACAAAATGCCATTTCCGGTTTGACCGGAATCGATATCTTTTGCCGTTCCTCAGAAACTTTTAATGGACCACGAATGTAAAACACCCGTATTTCGTATATGTTAATAATTAAAATAATTTTGAAATAAATAAATAATTTTAATAGTTTTCCATTTATTCAGTATTTTTAAGTCTTCAAAATTTATAGAAATTTTTCATGGGAGGACAGCTGTCAATTAACCTTACTTTTTTCCAAACTATCTCAGCCCATATCGTTTGTAATATTGATATTGTTCCTAGTGTATTGAATATTTCCAGTATTAAGTACCAATTTCAAAATTTATTATTATTAGAAACTTAATCTTCCACCATAAATCTGAAGTACTTTACAAATTTAAGCATTTTTGCTGAAAGTATAATACCTACAACTATTTCTTAAACTTTCAACTTTTATACCAGTAACCATCAAACTGTTATGTAGGTATTATACCATACTAGTTTAAATGTAGTATTTCTACTTTTTTTATTTAATGAAAGCAGATGATTAAAGCAAAAAAACACACAGAAAAAATAATTCTTAAAGAAACTGCTGATACATTAAAAATCAAGAAGATATTCATAATAATTATTGAAGTCATATTTAACTTGACTGTAGTGGATATTTGTTTAAAAATATTAATTTTTAAAATAAGAAATTATTTGTTTGTTTGTGTGTAGTTTTTTTGCTATTTTATTATTTTAGCATTATCCCGGTGCATTCGCCATATTTACAATTTAAAAAAATCACCAGAGCTGGGAGTATCTTGAGAAAAAAGATATCCAAGATACTTTATCTTAGATACTTTTTATATTGGATAAAAAGTATCTTTAACTAAGTTACTTTGGAAAAGTATCTTGAAACTTGTATCTAAAAATGTATCTAAGTTACATGGTAACTAAGATACATTCAAGTAACTTAGATACTTTTTTAGAGAAAATTGGGGGAATTCCAGAATGATTCAAAGTAATTACCTAACCTACAACTTGTTGAATTTTTATAATTTTAAAGTTTTTATTCATACTTAAAAGTAACTTAGTTACTCAAAAGTATCTTAGTTACTTAAAAGTATCTTAGTTATTCAAAAGTATCTTAGATACTTTCATATAGTATCTTAGATACTTTCGGATAGTATCTTAGATACTTTTTAAAGTATCTTGTGACTAAAGATACTTTTAACTCAAAGTATCTAGTTACCAGAGGTAACTAAGTTATTTTGTTTAAAGTATCTTAGAAAAGTAACTAGATACTTTTCAGAAGTAACTCTTCCAGCTTTGGTTATCACGAATATTAAAAAGAACTTTGCGTCGAACCAAAGAAGCCACAAGCAAAGATTTGAATATACACGGTTCGTGAAGAACAAACTATGTTAAAATAATTGGAAAACTAGCAAGTTCAATATTGAAATCTATTAGCTTAATATTTTAGACTTTAGTCTGAGTAGGTAATTGGCTCCGTTGCCATCTCCTGAATACTTCAAATATACCTTTGGTGGAGTCTAATTAATTTAAAGTACGAGGATATTCTGTGCGCCAGATATATCTTGATCAAATTAACTTCTAAAAGCAGAGTTTGCTCTCATGGCTCGATAGAGAGTCAATCAAACACCAGATAGTTCAAACATAATTAACAAAAAGTTTTCCCGCTCACGTATACTCTATTTGCACGGCCATCAAATTATCTCAAAGGATCGTAATCATTTGTTATTTTGTTTGCACTTCACCCACTTCCTTAAATGTTTTTTGTAAAGTACTTAGGTAAACGGTTGAATTTTTATATAAAGATCCTTAATCTAAGTGCAAAAAAATGAAGACAAGCTGAAGGGCCCTAAAACACCATTTATCTTCCGGCATACAAATTTCAATGAATTGTCCGGTCTCGTTGAAAATCATTTCAGCATAACATAGGCTAATTTAACGCTGAAACGATAGGCTAATAAATGTACATCGTTAATCTTTCAACGAAAATAAGCGCTTATCATTAATTATATTTCGCTTTTACTCTATGTCCGTGCTCGTGTTCTAATCAATATATCTTTCCTTTTAAATATTTATTAATTAATGACTATTATAAATTTCAATTTAAGGTTCTTTTCTAAACCTTTTACAGATACCACCAGATAAGTTCCTTTACGGGGATGCATTAGTGTCATTTGTTTTCAATAAAAAAATTATTAAAGTAAAGTAGAAATTTTGACCTATGACAACTGATGCAAAATATGCTTGCGCAGTGGGCAATAATCTACATTCATTAGAAAATTACATTTGTGTTATCATTTATTACTTTGCTGATAATTGTTTTTTGTTTTGCATACTCAGCTATTTTAAGGTACCTACTTTGAATAAAACAATACTTACTTCTTATTGTAAGGTATTTCGAGGTTTTAGAGGTTTTCCCGTCGATTTTAAATTTTTCCTTTTACTTTTTACTTCGATTGATGCTCATGTAGCTATTTTTTAAGTGTTCCACAAAATCATAATAATTGTTTAACTCTCCCGCCTAGCAAGTTAATACTCCTGTATTTAGTCTTTTTGGTTTTAGCGTATTGGATATTAGTTGACAGTAAAATATGTGTTTTAGGAAAGAAGCTTTCTATGCGCCGCTATTAGCATAGAACTGGCGGTTAGCACATTGTTCTACGCAGCGAGGGTACTAATATTACCAGGCCTCCACCCTAACTTAGTTCTTATATGTTACTGTATAAGAACTCAACTATCAGCTACCTTGACATTGCTGCTAGTTTTCGTGCCGAAATTTTGGTATCAGCAGAAGCAAGTGAGGTCTTTGGGGCAGGAGTATTCCTGCAGGATACCTATAGAAGGATTCAAGGTAATGAGAATCGAATCAAACTTCCTCATCCCATATAAAATTCAATCCACGTTTAAATTGTTTAAAAATGTTTTCAGGATGTAAACGCTCATGGCCCCCTAACAGGTAATAATAGCGACGTAGATGTAGGGGAAGTAACTTTGGCCGACATGAGCCCCGACGACATAAGGGCAGAGTTAAAACGTCTCTACCTGCAGCTAGAAATTTTTAAGAGCAAAACTATTTGTCGTGATAATCCACACATATCGAAAAGGCGGGGAGGGAGAAAGGCACAACACAGAAGATTCAGTTTACAGGTAAAAATATATATTTTGCCCATATTATTTTCATTCTTGACATACCTACCTACTTTTAATAAAAATAGACAGACCAGACTAGACTGAACAAGTTGAAATTAGAACGAGCTATGTAAAATGATTTCAAGATATAGGCTAAAATGAAAAGCTTAAATGATGACAAGCTAAAATAATGGTAATAATAAAATGTTGTTAAAATTATTACAAGCTAAAATGATGATAACCTTAATGATCAAAAGCTAAAATTAATAAGTTAATGACAAGCTTAAATGACAAAGTTAATGACAAAAAGCATAAATGCCGACAAGCTTAAATGATAACAAGCTATAATCATTACAAAAAATAATCTAAATTGACAAGCTTATATGACAAAAATATCAAATGACAATAACCTAAGCAATGACAAGCTAAAATTCACAAGTTAATATATATCGATAGACTTACAAATTGACAAGCTTTAATGATGCAAAGCTAAAATAATGCTATGATAAGCTTAATAATAACAAGATATAAGCTTAAATGACAAGGGTAATATGACAACCAAAAACAATGTTATACAATGTTAATTTAAATTGATGATAAGCTTAATGAATTATGCTTGAAAAGTTACAAGCTTAAATTATCACAAGCTAAAATGATTACAAATTTACAAGCTTAAATGACAACAAACTTTAATGATGACAAGATAAATCTATGCCATGACAAGCTTAATGATGATAAGTTCGAATAATGATAAGCCTAGATCACGAGCCACTTAAATGATGACAAGCTTAAATGACAAAGTTAATGACAAGCTTTTAAATGACAAAAAGTTTAAATGCCGACAAGCTTAAATGATGACAAGCTATAATGATTACAAGAAATAATCTAAAAATCCAATGACGTGTGTTCAGAAAATATCGGGAATTTTCGTTTTTTGAAACAAATATTTATTTATTCGTCTACATTAATGTTGTCGCCTTCAAAATAGTCCCCATTGGATATTATGCACATGTGCCAGCTTTTCTTCAAATACTCTAAACACTTCTAAAACTCGATCTTTGGGATAGCCTTTAGTTCTTTCAGAGATTCGCTTTTAATGTCATCTATGCTTGCAAAACGACGGCCCTTTAAGGTTCTCTTTATTTTTGGGAATAGGAAAAAGTCAGACAGAGGCATGTCTGGCGAATATGAAGGCTGGGGCATCATTACAGTATTGTTTTTGGCCAAAAATTTTGTTCAAAATTTAACAATTTTGGAACAAATTTTGCTTCCACGCGTTTCATACCCGAAACATTCGAATAAATTTCATGGGATGAGCCAATCGATATACCAAGATGATCAGCGACTTCTCTGATGGTTTATAACCATTTCTTCCACTTTTTCCATGTTTTTATCGGTTGTTAATGTGCTTGAGCGTTCGGGGCGTTCGTCATCTTCAACGTCTTCACGGCCATCTTGGAAACTCTTATACCACTTGTAAACTCTTGTTTTACTCATAGCAGACTCACTATAGGCCTTTGTTAACATTTCACAGAATTTATTTCATTTTTTAAGCAAAATTGGATACAAATTCTTTGATCCATTTCTTTTAACGAACGAAAAATCGCCGAGCCCTAAAAACACGTCTAACCTTAGCGGCTGCCACAGACAAAGTAAACAATGAAAACAGCTAAAGTTTTTATCATACTTCGGGGGCATGTATACCAACATAATAAATAAAATTTTATGACAACCGGACCCTCCGAAGCCGCGAAATTTAACAATTCCCGTTATTTTCTGAACACACCTCGTATAAGCTGACAATCTAAAATGTTAAAAAAACTAGAAAGACAAGACTGAACAGACAAGACTAGAAAATAGAAACATTCGTTAATAATGTATAATATTTTCTTTGTTTACGCTATTCACATAGAAAAAGGGAAGCAGGGAAAAGGTAATGCAACTATTTCAATTTAGATAACATGTTCAAATTGTAAATTGTGTTTCAAAACTTCGTACTCAATGGCTAATAAACTGATTCATACGGACATCAAGCACATCAAGCATCATACGGAAAATCTGACGTTATTAGTTTTGAAACTAAGTTCTCAATGTTATTATATTGACTCGTGTTTGGTTTTGTTGCCTAAATGTTAAAGTAAAGTTCCTTTCTAAAATTCTACAAAAAAAATAAATCCGTTAAAATGATGTTTGAGTTTGGACACTGGGCTAATATTGATTATCCTGGAGTGGAAAAAATTAAAACCTGTAACGCTCTGTTAAATTTTAAAGGGATTAGCTTTTATACTATTTCAATTCACTTTTGATGAGTCAACGGTATTCATGATGTTAAATGTTTGATTTAAACACCACTGCAGAGAATAATGAATGCAATATAAAATGTTAATTGACTTTCATTTGCAATTAAATCACATTGTTAGCTTTACGACCCAGATTCAATTAAATATTCTTTGGAAACAACCTCGCAAACTGTTGTTCTGGAAGTGTTATTATATATTTGAAATATACCCCGTTACTATAAAATATATCGACAAGTTTTTTCTTTAATTATTTTATATGTATACCGTAACAATGCCTGTAGTTAGCCGACACAAACCTCGTTATATTTCATCTGCGGACACTGGCCGTGTAAATTAACATACAAACAGATGCGTGAGTGCTTGGTATGCAAGGCAAAGCGTTTCTGCTACTTCGAACAAAGAATTTTAACAGTGTATCATCCCGATAGCAAAATTTGATTCTAAGAATCTTCTAAGAAGATATGACCCGGAATAATGGAATATTCTTAGAACCTTCCCTTATTGCTAAGAATGTTCTTAGGGACTTTTAAAACATTCAATAGATAACCTTTTAATGATGCAATTAGATTCTGAGAAGCTTCTTAAAACTTTGCTAAAAAGCATTCTAAGAACATTTTAAGAATACGTTTTTGGAATATTCTTAGAAGGTTTCTTATGGAGCTTCTAGGAAGCTTTTGAGAATATTTTCAAATATGTCAGATACCCACGTTCTAATATGTTGGATTCTACATTCATAAAATTCTTTAGGAGGCGACAAATACGCCTCACTGTCATAATATCACAGTGAAATGTATTTGTCGTCCCCTTAAAAAATTTTGCGACATATTAATATATATTTATTTAAAAAATATTAAATAAACAATTTGACCTCTAAAACCATAAGTTGTATGACATTATTTTATAAAAAGTAAAATTGGAAAATTTTGTGGGATAAGTCAGATTAGATTGAAGTTAAAGATAGTTAGGATTATTATTCATAAAAATGTTAATTCAGAAATAAAAAATCGGTATACAAATTAGTAAATATTTATTTTTAACATTAAATAAAATATAAAAAACCAAATATTTCCTTATAAAATAATTCTTCATAAAAGAAAAAACCAAATAGTTCTTCATAAAAAAACATTTTTCATTGTATTTAAGTTGGATAGAAGATTTTATGTTAAAACCGGATAATTTAGATACCTATAGTAAAAGTAAAATATTGTTTTAATTTGACAAATAACTATAAAAAAATATTTTCGGTTGTGTTTTTTACTTAGTATTTAATACCAAGTATAGGTACCTTTATACGTAGATTATGGTATATTTTACTATTATATAGGTACCTAACTGAACTGAATATGCTTAACAGAATGTTCAAGGAATATTCCTAAATGAACTTTCTATAGCAATTACTTTCTCAACATTCTAAGCATATATTTAGAGTGGATTAATTTTTACCACTAAACTTTGCACCTTCTAAGAACCTGCCTATAGGCCAGTGAGAATATTCTTAGGATTATGCTATATTTCTTTTAAGCATGTTCTTTAGAAGAAATATAGCATGATCCTAAGAATATTCTCACTGGAAGGTTTAAAAAACATTCTTAGAACATGACTAGAAGAAATATAGCATGATCCTAAGAATATTCCCACTGGAAGGTTTAAAAAACATTCTTGGAACATGACTAGAAGAAATATAGCATGATCCTAAGAATATTCCCACTGGAAGGTTTAAAAAATATTCTTAGAATAAACTGTTCTATCAGGGATTAAACAAAATAAATCAAACCATCTCGATACCAACAACCAGCCCTCTTCAAACGATCTATTTTTAGAATCTGCACGGCAAAAGGGACCGCGACCGTCAGAAAAAGGAACAGGAAGAGGTAACGGAAGCGGAACCGTCCCGCACGCCGGAAGACAGCGTTTGCAGCAACGAGGGCCCCAGCGCCATCTATGCAGACCTCCCATCCACCGCCCAAACCAGCGCCACCACATAGCATTCCCCAGGCGTATCCAGCAAGAACAAGAATTTTGTAAGATAAAAAAATGTTTTGTTTACAACGAATACTTTCAGTGGTTCTGAAATGTATAGAGCACTTTGTTCTGGGATATCAAAGATGTACAGCTAGAACACGAATTGCATTTAGATTATGCATTTTTAGGATATAACCTGAAATCGTCCAAATATAGTATTTTGTACCATATGTTATTATTACTTAAAAAAATGAACCATGCTTTAATCGTAGATGATCTCCTTGATGATAAAATCATTAAAAATGTTTTATGATCAAGATAATAAATGTAAAAAGTGTACCCTGAAATAGCAAGCATGTAAGTCTTAAAATTATTTTATTACAATGATATAGTTAAAATGGTAAGGGACCAAAATTAGTCCTACGCACGGTTTTTATATACAAGCAACTTTCAAAATTTAGATGGTGCTGCGAGACTAGAGACCACGGTGAAACAAAGAACTAATGCATATTTAAATATGTGACATAACCTACGGATTTCCGTTTATTGCCTCGTAGAGTGTGGTTCGCTCGATGAGAGAGTGTGAAATATAGGTGAATTTTTGACCTGGGAGGGACAAGATTGAGGTCCCAATTTAGTAAAATATCGCAAACTTTGACCTTTTATCGAGGTTTTTTATTTTCGTCATCAAGATTTCAAATTTGCAGTTGTTCAATGGCCGATGGACCTCGCTGAAGCCACTGTCCTGATCAGTTAGAGCTAATGTAACTCTCTTTCGAGAGAATAAATAGTTAGAGAAGAAAAAGACACACCCTATATTTTTTAAATCGCAGTTAACAGTTCTATTTCTTAATCATATTCCATGCACCTTGGTTTGGTTTACATTTTCGAAAATGTATTGTTATTTCTGAGTGGTGTCTGATAATCCACGTATAATAAAAAGTTAGCGGTGTATAAACATTTAACAAGTACCCCCTATACCCTAAAAAGGTTATAATATTCTAAAACTCACTCATTTAAAATTCATTTACAAATTGACATTCGTTCTAAATTTGCCTTATCTATTGGTTATATCATGTCAGAACTCGGCTTATACAATTGAGCCTATGAGCGTTACAAAATTTGATCACGTGACCATTCCAAGACTGAAACTTCACAAACGTCTTATAAACGAGTTGGATAAACAAGAGGAAGAAGTGCCACAATGTGAAGGGGGACAGCAAGAGAAAGTTTAACTTTATTTTAATTTAAAAAAAATGTTTATCAAATTTGTCTCTGAAATAAACGTTTCAAAACCGATTATTCCAAAACTTGTTATTCAACAGGTCGTGCCAAAACTCGCTTTATTCATTTTGCAATTTTAATTTATTTCAAATTGGAGCTATACCTTTTTAATCAAGGTATATAAATGTTATACTTATGCCTATATCTTTTTTTTAAGTATTTCTGTTGTCCTGATATGAGTTAGTACTCATGTGTAAGGTTTTTTACATTTTGCTCAAAATCACCTAATATGGATGGTTTGGAATGCGCCTCGTCATGTATAAGTCATAAATTTGTTTTACTGACATGTGTAATAAGAAGGTCGAGGATTTTGTAAAAGGTTAGTTGCAAATTTTGCACGATTACGATTCTGTCATCTTATTTTGTCACCCAATTAGCTTTCACTTTTCCAATTTGACAATGGGTACCTACTACTTCTTCTTCTTCTTCTTCTTCTTCTTCCTCTGTACCGCCCATGCTTTGCACGTCACACACAAACATTGTCTGTGTCTGTGTCTTTTAGGCGAAAGAGAATTTTTTAAATCTTGAGTCGTCCACTTAATCCGTTGTACAAATTACAAAATACCTCGCTAAAAGGTCAAAGCTTGCGATATTGTCCAAAATGCAGGCATATTTATATACATGGGGAATCCAATTTTTAACCTTCTGGGTCGAAACGTATCTCATTGAGCGGTCCGAATATCACAACAAAACCGTATTCTTTTCTTCTTTCTTGGTGGCTGTATGCCTTAATGGTCTTGGGATCAATGTACTATTTTGATCAGAAGCAAGTGTTCTTGATTAATGACTATTCATTTTTTATATCATATGCACTTTCAGCACATACATATACCATCTTATTAAATCCATTTCCAGACATACCTACCTACATAAAGCTATCTTCAAGAATCATTCCGAGGAGAGTGTCACCACCTGCCTAAATAAAACACTATGTCCAAGGGCATCCCATAAGGCCTCATTAAAAGGTTAGGTAAAGCTGGAAACATTATCGATAAATACTTTGTCTCCTGGTTCAAATAAGTTACTTATATTTCACACCCTTTATCACGCAGATCCGCACGCACAATGACAAAGTCGTATTTGACAATAGAAATGTCAACAAAACCTACATTTTACCGGGGAGTAGTTCATTTCACCGTGGTCTCTCGTCTCGCAGCGCCCCTAACGGCTTGGCACGTTTAGAGATCTGTATATGAAACCGTGGTCCTACGCTATTAAGCCTATTTGATTTTGACATCTACAACACAGGCGGGCAAAATCTTCTGCTTTCTGCAGGGCAGCCAAAATTTTTTCTAGGGTAATCCTAAACGACCATCAGTTGGAACAATCAGCTCTTATTTTGAAGATATTGTTAATAGCTCCCCCTGCATAAGATATAATGTAAAAAGTACTTTAGGATGCACCATGGCATAAAATGTAAACCTTGAAAAACCTTCAAGAAAGCGCAAAAATATGCCAAAATGTTTTATTAGATGTTAGAAAAACATTAAGGCAGATTTTGGCCCTTTCTCCTTATCTACTTATAAAAACTTAGATAGATATTAAATTGTTTAATTTCCGATTTTTTTTATTTTTCTCATTATCCAAATGCTGTCAAAGCGTTATAAAGTTGATTCTAAAATAACTAGTATCTATAATGTGTTAATTTTAAAAATATTGAGAGTAATATGTAATTACCATATAGAAAGTTCTATTATTTATAAAGTAAAAAATAAATAATAGACATTGTTATTATTGGTTAAACAAAATTATTTGAAAGTGCCAAACAGTGGATTAATTTTGTTTATATTTATAAATAAAGTAAAGGGGTCCTAAATTAATATTTTGATTAACTAATTATTTATTTAGTATTATACTAAAGACATTAATTTTGTACATAGTATAAGCCGTTATTCGTTGTCGCAAAATTTATTTAATAAATAAAGTGTTATACAAAAAAAATTGAGTTATTATTTACACCCTACTTAATTCCATTATGATTACGTAATTCATCGTACCGAAATAAAACATTAGTTACGTGATATGCTCTTATAAATTAAATATGCATTTCTAAACGCCACAGTGTTTATTAACATGTAATAGGATTGGCTATTTAAATGGAGTAGAACTGAGTAATATAATTAAAATCGTGTTTAGAAGATTATTTTATGATTTAATTTTGCAGTTATGGTTTTTTTAATTTAAAAAACGGCTCCAGACTGCAACTTATTTTAAAAAAGTCTACTTTAAAAAAAATAAGGTTCAATAAAATCTTTAACCCTTTAAAGTGATGTGGTTTCCCCGCGAAACCACATTTTTAAGAAATCCAAAGATACTTGTACAGTGATTTTAGCGCGTAACGGTTACGCCGTAACCACATGTTGCACTTGAGGATAGTGGCGTCAACAGTGGCGGCCCTTGACATTTCATTTTGGTGAGGCAGAGGCAGGGTTTCGCCCTCATTTAAAGACGAAGAAGTTTTTTTAAACCCAACTTAAAAAAACTGACGTCGCAGTTCACAACCTATACTTAAAACTAAGTAAGAAACTTAGACTGTGGTGGAGAAGGGTTCCTCTACTTTGTCAATGAAATATATTTTATTGTAAAAATGACGTTTATTTTAAATAAACCTTATTTTTGTCTAATTAATATTTTATTGTTCAGCAAGAACCACGTGAAGGTCAACAATATCGGTACAATTTCTCACCGTAATATCCATAATGACTAAATTCACATAAATCACCAAGTTCAATTAACTAAACCCACAGAATAAACCACTTACAAAAGAATCATAAAATAGACAAACTCATAGAAAAAGAATAAACAAAATATTGCGTAAATAACCACAGATTTGTTCTTTAAACAGTTCAGAATTTTAAAACCAAAACAAACCTAAAGAAGGAATCAGTATTTATTTTATTGGTTACTGTGATGGCTACAAGTGTTAAAATATGTTTATTTTAGAATAGAAATATAATTTCGATTAAAATAATACCACTTATTATTGAATTTTGAAAAACGTGTGAAGTATAATTTATCTAAAATTCCGCAACAGTGTTGCCACAACACCTGCTTATTTCCTTGGATGTAGGCTTGCCTGCATAGAAATAATATTTCTATGCTTGCCTGCCTCGCGTATACTAATACGAGAGAAGGAGACAACTATGATATCGCATTGTAATAGAACGAGACAACAAGGCTAACGCCAATCGTGAGTCTAAATTAGTTCAGGCATGCTTCTGACCCAATCATCTAGCTATAAATATTAGTTTAAATTGCGGTCATTTCAAATTCAAATAATTTAAATGTTCCTGGGTATTCCAAGTATAAAATCAATCAATTTTATTGACTATTTCACAATTCATGTAATTCAAATATTAAAAATTTATAGTATATTATAGAAAGTAAAATATTTAAATTATACTTAATTTTTTAATTCTCTATGATGAGGCACTGCCTCACCTGCCTCCCCTGACGGGCCGCCACTGGGCGGGTTTTACTGACAAAAGTCAGTTTCAATCAAATCATCAATCATCAAATAGCATTATCAAATGAAGGGATTTGTTTTTAGTTCTTAGTCCTTAGTCTAAGTATACCTATATCAATATTTAACAAAGATTTTAATAATATTGACTTAATATTTTTAATAAATTAATTGCTACAGTATCTATAAATAGCTTTTAGCATCTTAAGAACAGCTGGTTGATATATTAGTAAATAATAGAAGAGATAGAAACCTACTTATCATCATTAAAAGCAAATTTTAATATTTTACTTTTGTAAACCGGATTTGTATGCCCTAATTTATAAATAAATGTGGAAATACACTTAAATGAAACAAAAGAGTCCCTTAGTTTTTCAAAGTCAATTTATCTATATTTACAACAATAAGGTTATACGTTGACGTGATTTTATATGTAAGTGTTCCTAGCTAGACGTATGCTAAATGTTTTTAGCATCTTTCGTTGAATAATATTCATTGCAAATATATTTTTTTTAACAAATTGTTATACATTTAAAAAAATAATATATCCAAATGTTCTCAACGTTTTTCTATTCAATGGTAACCAGAGAAGGTACCTACACAACAGTGGAGGCAAAATAAGCGTGCACGCGACCCATAGTATCCATGGATACTATGGAGGTATGGATATGGATATATTTGTATAAATATATGGATATGGATATATATATATATATATATATATATATATATATATATATTATATATATATGTGAATACTATGGATACACAGTATCCATGGATACTATGGTCCACGTCCAAAAGAACCCCCACGTGACTTTGATGCAAATAATTACAGTTAATTTTTGTCAGTGTCAAATTAATTTTTTGAGAATAATGCAATATTTGCATTTTTTATTTATAAAGGTCTTAATTTAGAACTCAAAACATATGTTATATTATTTTTAGAAAATTATTAATATCAAAGTTATGTGGTGAAACTTTTGGATCTAGATCTAGTTTAATGTTATCTATACCCAGATCCAAAACTAGTTCTAGTGAAGACGGTGCAGTGCACCGTGGCCCCTTGGTTGTAAGGGACCAAGGGGTTTCCAGAACCGTGTAATGTAATATAACCTAAAATATAAATGTTTTTTCTCTTTGTGATGGAGCAATTCTGAAGTCGATTTTGGATTCAGCATTTCGAAGTTAATAAAATATTGTAAAACCATTGATTAATAATACTTCTAAACCCAACGGTAAAACACACAATTAATTATTATCAATATCCGGAAGGAACCAATTAGGTGGTAAACAATAAATTTTTATTTAATTGGCCATAGAATCAAATTATAAAATTTAAAAAAAAATCAATTAATAGCCCGAAATACAGTTAAAATATTCAATTCCTTTAACGGCCTAAATCAATATATTATTAAGATTAAATCTCGTAACGTTAAACAAATGTTAATTTCAGATTTAATTCAATTTGAACGACTTAATTTCGTACGGGAATCTGAATAATGTTTACAACTAACCGCGAAAAAATGTGTCTAACTGTTCAAGTTTAATTGTAACACATAATTTAGTAAAACTAATAATTGTGAGCTATTAATTTTAAAAGCAAAAAATTGTAATCATTTATAAATTAATTATAATCTATAATCTAGTTATAATGTTACATCTGATCGATTTAAGAATTTTGTTACTTTATGCTATCTCGAGCAGCGTAATTCCCACGCAATTATACTATTGCGTGCTGTACCTACCTCATCTTCAATCAAGATAGCACGTACAATTGTACTATAGTAAAACATCTCTGATCAAGATAAAAACTATCTAGGTGACTTACTGACTGATTTAATACACCTCTGCTTACAAATAAATAACTGTAAGTGTAAAATGTATTGTATTTTAGCTGGATTAAATATAAATAAAAGATGGTTTATAAAGTAATAAATATATTCATGTCATAGGAGAGATATGGGGTTTCTATGTACCTTTTGATAGCCCTGAAACTCTACTGTTTCCACTAAAAATTTTCGGTACGATCTACAGTCAATTCCGCATTTTTGGGAGCCGCATTTTTCACAGTTAAAAAAACAACCTAGGCAGGCTTCATCTAAACAGTCACACAGATCTACATCACTCTTTATATGTACACCTTTGTTGTTGTATATGGAACCATTGTTAATGTCAAACTTATCTGAAGGTTTGATGATGACCCTTCTACGTATAGGTTTTTCGTATAACGAATTGTTATTTTCTCGATTAATATTTTTATGTGGTACAGCAAACGCCTGCATTTTTAATCGTGTCCCTGGTACATCCTTAAACAATTTATAATTCTTAAAATCGTCCATATCAAAGTGGTCCTCGCAGCACCTTAAGGCCTTTCCAAGTGGTATTTCACTCCTTTTGGGGTCGTTATAAACAATTCTAACCCATTCGGTTCTTCTTTCCTTGTTGTATGGCACATACACGAATATTTTGTCAGGGTTGTCCAAATTGTTGCTCTCACAATGTGGTACGAAGCACTTGAAATTGGGGTTTAATGAGTTTTTTTCTCGATCAAGATTTTTATGTGGTACAGCAAACGCCTTCATTTTTAATCTTGTCCCAGGGGCATCCTTAAACAATTTATAATTCTCAAAATCGTCCATATCAAAGTGGTCCTCGCAGCACCTCAGAGCTCTTCCAAGTGGTATTTCACTCCTTTTGGGTTCATTATAAACAATTCTAAACCATTCGGTTCTCCTTTCCTTGTTGTTTGGCACATACACGAATATTTTGTCAGGGTTGTCCAAATTGTTGCTCTCACAATGTGGTACGAAGCACTTGAGATTGGGGTTTAACGAGTTGGTATTTTCTCGATGAAGATTTTTATGTGGTACAGCAAACGCCTTCATTTTTAATCTTGTCCCTGGTACATCCCTAAACAATTTATAATTCTCAAAATCGTCCATATCAAAGTGGTCCTCGCAGCACCTCAGAGCCCTTCCAAGTGGTATTTCACTCCTTTTGGGGTCGTTATAAACAATTCTAACCCATTCGGTTCTTCTTTCCTTCTGGGTTGGCACATACACGAATATTTTGTCGGGGTTGTCCAAATTGTTGCTCTCACAATGTGGTACGAAGCATTTAAATGAATTCATTTTACCATTTGCCATTTGAACTACTACTGAATGCATTAAATTTTTAGTGTGTCGGGTTTTAAAAAACACTTTGTCAGCAAAATTTGTTGGGTTTTTATAGTGCGAGCAATGAATTATGTTATACAGTGCGTATTATTGGATAAAGATTCTTCCACTCACGATTTTCTAAAGATCAATTGAGTTTTTCCACTTTAGGGTAAACATTTCTCGAAAACCTAATGTGATAGAGCAATAAAACAAAAAAATCTTTAATGATATAATGATTAAAAAAACTATATTTTAGTGACGAAACTAAAAGTTAAAAATACAGATTTAGAAAACTAAACTCAAATTAATTTTAATCTTACGTTAGAATTGTCTAGCTTCTTCGAATTAATTTTAATCTTACGTTAGAATTGTCTAGCTTCTTCCGCAAACATGCATTAATAAATTTTCTAGAAGGCAGGAAATCGCGTTAAAATTATGAGAAAGCACGTCTTAAAAATTCAATTGTTGCTATCGTATTGTTATAATTAAAATTTATTTTTTTCCACTACGGTTGTGTTAAATATATACCATAAAGTTCAGTTATATTAAGAATTAATTTCGCAAAATTTACTGTAAAAATTTCGAGATGGTATTATTAAAAATACCAGCTGTATTAATAATATAAATATGGGAACGTACAACAAAAATATAGACAACTTTTTCATCTAGTTATTGGACAACTTATCAATTATTTCAGTCAGTATGTTTTACCGGGTAATCTAATTTTTTTAATCAAATTATATGACTTTATATAGAAACATACAAACCGCAACATTACCAACAAGTAAATAAATATTGTATTAGTATCGTCAAATAGCTAGACGCACGAACGTGAATGAAATTTTAATTATATAAAAAAAACAAATATTCTTATGATCGCACAGTGTTTTGAAAAAATATTACTTGGTGATTTTCTTTCGCACCAAGCAACTGCTGTTTTTTGCTGTATACAAAGTTTGCACGGACCCTTTTGGCGTTCGTAACCGACATGACTACGGTTTTAGTGACCCTTCGCGCAAATGCGCCGGGCCGGAGTATACGCCCAGAGGGCTAGGGGAACTGGATTTTTAAGGGACAAAGAGGTAGACCCATATCTAGTAACGATGCGCCTGGGTTTTGTTATTTTGATATTGGGGCCTAACTAAGGTAGCCAGAAATCAAAATGGAAAATAGAAGAATTAAATAGAAAATATAAAAAAGTATAAAAAAATATATCATTATTGCATTTATTGCATTACGTACCTATAATTGCTAATTTATTAAAATTAAATACCTGCATACTAAACAAACTTTGTAAAATTAAAATAAAAAGACTAAAATACTATTAATTAAACATTATTAAACATAAATTTAAACCCAACTCAATAAATACAATAATATAAACTAAACATTGCAGTTGCACTTAACTATACTTTTTTATTCTCAAACGCTGAAATATAGAAGATTTAGCGTCTTTATTTTGGGAGCATAGAAGCCGTGTTCTGCTTCTTGTTCTTTTGTGTCTGTATACCCTTCTGCGTCGGATATTCCGGTATTTGGTAGCTGGCTTCAAGGAAAATTCGACGGCTCATTCCAAGTACTGACTTCAAAGAAGATTCAGCCGTATTCAGCCAGTCTTTGTTTACTAAGCTGAGAAGTTATAAAGCAGATATGGGCAAGGTATTTACCCCACTGTGCGAAACCTTTACTTGTCTTCAGTACCGAAATATTGCCGTCTACGTCAGGTTGTTTAAAATAAGCATATTAATTATTAAAAACACATAATAAATAACAATAAAACTGAGTTTTTTTAAATTAATTTAATTAGTTTTAGTGTTGCAGGATCTTTCAGACGAAAATGACAGATTGATGATTGATTAATTTATATGGCACTTCTACAGGCATAAGTTCATACGAGCACAAAAACTCATTAATTTTTCAATGTCACGTTACACTGTTTAAAATATCTGTGGTGTGAAGAGTAATCTTAAAATGGTGTCAAAATCCAACACCAAATGGTGTTAATATAACACCATGAATTATGGTCGAAAATGTTTTATACAGCAAACACCAAAACGGTGTTTATCTAAAAATATTTGAGAAGTGCACCTACACAGAAAAAAAGGAATCGTTCATTTAACTATATTAATTTAGTTGACTCATATGTATTTATTTAAATCAACTGTGGGAAGGTTAATATAAACAAAGATTAGTTTGACGATACTAAACCAGATAGTTATTTTATTTTTTTTAAATTGGTTAAATTAACCCAGAAATCTTTTGTGAAACCAACCTGCTATATGGTTCAGTTTACTAAATATGTTGTTTGTAAAATAAGAGTTACTTCAACCTAAAGCACTCTGTTAAAACGATTAAAACAATTTGCCGTGCATTCCTTTGTTGCATAGTGTGTACCGATCGCGGCAAAGGCGGTGTGGATCACGTGATGTTCTTAAATCTCGCCTCTGTTGACTTACTTTGAAGAGTATATAAGCTCAGGTAGTTCTTTGCTTTGGTGTGACACTACAAGTTGTTCGATACTAAAGAGACCTTAAATAGGTGGAAACAGCTGTCAATACTTGAAGTATTTTAAGTTGGAACGCACAAAAAACATTATCTCTAGCGAGTTGAAGGTTCAATTTTCTGGAATAATACCACTGGTAATATACTTGTAATGCGTCAAGGAACTTCCTGTTTTTTTCTGTGTAGCATGATTTAATTTGACCAAAAACAAGAACATTATATTTAACACTGAAAAGGGGTTCAATATACACCAGGTAATAGTATATTACACTACAAGAGCAGAAAGTGTGAGATTCCTGCACTGCGCGCCATGATCATCATGGCGCGCAGTTCAGGGCTGTCACACTTTCTGCCTGTGTAGTGTATACTATTTTTCTTGCTACCCGGCCGAAAATACAACCCAACCCAACCCGGCCGAAAATACGGGAAAAAATTAAATGCCTGCCCCGACATTTGCGGCACGAGCGAAGCCTTCGTAGCCCTTGTAGTGTAATATACTCGAAATAGTATATTACACTACAAGGGCAGAAAGTGTGAGATTTTGAACAGTGTAGAAGATATGCATTAATGAAGTATTTAATTAACGCTTATCTTATAACATGACAATAAGAAATCGATAATTTTTTTTCTCGTAGGCACTTATACCTGTAGAAGTGGCATATAAATTTTAGTTAACACACACAACACAGTTTAGCAATATGAAACGATACCAACTTTATTAATTTTTTACTCGAAAACCAGACAGTCAATTTTTCTAAAAGTTTGTAAATGTCTTTTAAGTAGACTCTACTACAACCTAGAATTTTTCTCATAACGAATAACATGGTGCCAGGAAGAATGTTAAATTTTAAAAACCTATACCTCACACCCTAAACTTTATATTTTTATTGATATTGATATTCAAAAATAGAGTACTACCTATATTTTAAAAACCTGTACTAAAGCTAATTGCGAGACCAAATGGAATAAAAAACCGTGCAGCTGCATTTTTTCGGCCAGCACGTTGTCAGGTCTCGTGGCCGAAGAAATGGCATCGACCCCTCCACACCGTACACCTTCCTCACGAACCTTACACCTAAGTCAGCCGGTCTGCGACGAAACTTGCAATCAGCCAAAGAAGAACCAAGAAGTTCTCGGCAAGAACAGTCCTGACGGTATAACGCTCGCAAAACTCGAGCAGGCCGGTCCCAAACCACACGGAATCGCTAGCAGAACAAGCGACAGTCCAGCGCTACCGCCTGCCGCGATCAGCTGAATACAAATAAATCGCGTTGCCACAGCCTACTCGCGTCTTATATTACGAACTTGTATTTGCATATGTAGGTGGTCAGGTCTGTAATAATAGTGGTGTGATTTATTTGTGGTGTGAAAAAAATTGTGAGATGACTTATCTAACTTTTTTCGCGTTTTTACTGGGGTCCACTCTGGCAGATGTTGCGAGTAAGTAAATTCCATTCAAAAGCGTATAAATCCGCAATTATACCGATTTCTTTTATTTCCGTTTAAAAACTTCATGTTATCATTGTTTGGTGTTCAAGAGGCGTAAAGTTAAAGGCCTTATACGGCTGTTTAATGAATTAGGTATTAAGTTTTTTGTCTCTAATGAAACTAATACGTGCTCCACATTACTTAAGACTTGTTGGTTGGTTAATGGGTTTTGTTTTTGCAATTTAACCATTGAGTGTGCGTGCAAAATAACGCAACAACCATATCCATGCCAAGACGAATCAAATAGGGTCTAGAAAATTTATTTTTTAAGATTAACTACATAGTTTTGCGTGCTGTGTTTACATATTGGACAGTGACAGTCGCAGAACTGGACCTTGAAGGATACCCAGATAAATATAGGTTTTTACTGGAGACTAATTCATTTTCATTTCATTTTATTTTAAGTTGTGCAGAGTATTTTTTAAAAGGTCGTTCAAGGACCAGAAGAGAAAATGACCGTAAATATAAATTTTGACAAGCGTGGTTATTTTTCTCATTTTTATTTGATTGCATTGAAACTTTTACACATTAAAGTAGAAAGATGAAGCTACAAAATTTTATAAATTTCATTCAAATCAGAATTTAGAAAATTGTCAAGTTTTGTCTAAAACGATTTTATTTCGTTAAAAACATTATTTTTAAAGGAAAAAACTTTATGAATTTGTATAATTTTTTTTAGTTTAATTAGAACCATTACCTTTGATCCTTGGTATTTGATACAAACAAAATATACGAATTTTATTGTTATTGACAACAACAAATTTGATTTTGTTGACCAGAGTAATTAATAAATCTCTATGTAGAACAAAATTCTAAATACTATAAAAACCTTAAAATTATTAATGAATTAAATAACTAATTAAAACTATTATAAAATATAATAGTTAGCAATTTGTTAAAAAATAATACAATTTAAAAATAATTAATACTCAATTAATGTAACTTCATTATTAATTAATAATATTACCTAAGTAATTTGTATTATTTACATTTTTACAGGTTTTGACGCCTTTGTATATTAAAAATTATTTCCAATGAATATTTTGTTAAATAATTTAAAATATGTATAAAATAAGTTTTGTTCATTTTTTTTAAATTGCATATTTTACAACACTTACTGTTTATGTATTTTTGTTTTGAAAATTATCCATTAAATAGTAAAAATTCATTTTCTCTACTAATTTTTATATTTTTTTATGTTTTTGACGTTTTTATGATTTTTTAAATTTATTAAATTACTATATTGTTATATTGTTAATATTTTTCAGAATATAGTGTTTTAAACCTTTTCTGTAAATTGTACGATTTTGTATTTTATTTTTATTATAATAATATAATTTTCACAATTTATAAAAAATTAAAAGATTTTTAATTAATAAGAAAATAGAGTTATTATACATAGTTTTTATTAGCAACTCATTATAAATGAATGGTTTCTACTTATTTATTTTATTAAAAAAATGTTTTTGTTTTAATATTTTTAAGGATAAAATAATTATTAAATTAAGAAAAACTTATTCAAAGAAAGAATAATAACAATAATTGTTTTTATTTTGTAGAATATAATATTTTTTTTTACGTTTTTAGCATTTTTTTTATTTTTTCTTCATTATGATATTATTTTTTACAATTTACTTTGGTTTATACCCAGTAAACACAATTACGTAAATATGACGTAAATATGACGTCATGTCAAGTCACGCTTACGTAAGATATAGGTCACACTTGAGTCATACAAGAGTCATTATTTCACACTTTCTTACGTCAGACTCTGACGTAAACATCTTTATGTAACACTGACATCATACTATTACATAATATTTACGTAATAAATATGACATAAATATGACCTCCTTATTTTTCATCATGGGGCACAATAAGTAAATACTGAAACAGCTCACTTGGCTGAAATCAGTTCCCTCTTGACGTTAAATGAGTGAAATTGTGGGTTCGCGGCTTTGGCCTTGCAAAGCAGGCACTGTTTAAGCAGAGGGCCACGGAAATTTCATGACGATCTAGACGGAACAATCCTGGCTCCAACAAAGAATTCCACTGAAAAAGCTAAATTATCGTAGGCGACAATTCGTGACTCGTTTATTTGCCGTTCTATGGTTCGGATTCCTAATTCTCAAATTGCAATGCAGCCAGTGTCAACTTATATACTTAACGAATAGTGCCACATAAGCGAGATGTATTATGCAATAATGGTTGCCTATGATAAGTAGATTTCTACTATATTATAGTAGATGCCTACTTATCATAGGCAACCTTACTGCATATTGTAACTGTTAACAATTAATATATCAATGTTATTTGACAACTTTACCCTTATATATTATAATATTATTATAAAAATTTTTTATCAATGAAAAATTCTTTAATAGTTTACATATATTTTTAAAAATCTCTTGGTTTCTTAATTATTAATACTAAATATTCTGTGTACTTAAATAATTTCGTTTGTCAATTTCATTTCTTTTATTTATTATTTTTTAAATTTTAAAAATATACTAATACCAACAATATTGTGCAAATACCTATCTATTATTATAGGTATTATATTAATATATAATTATACCATATTATATTATAATATTAAATTCTTTAAATTTGGTTGTATTATTTTTTGAACCTCTGTATTTGGAAATTGAAATTTTAGTATGTTAAACAAGGCATTAAATATATAGGTACTACCAGAGACAAGGGTACTCTGGGTACTACTTTTTGACTTAAACCAATTTTGAAAAATTTCTAAAATGGCGTCGTACTGTCAAAAGGTCACATTTTTTTCAATGGGAAATGGAATTGATTAATCATTACCGAAAAGGTATTTATTGCAAGCTGATACTTTATCTAATTTATGAAGCTGATCAAAACCAACTCACAATGGATTTTGAACCAACTACTAATTTTTCAGATTCTTTACAGGGTATGTCAGAAGTAAGAACAAAAAAAAATCGTTGTTTATGAGTAGCTATAGCTAGGAACAATATTCAACATTTAAAAATTATTTTTATTTTAGAAATTTAAAATTTTAGTATTTTAATAGGTAACATTTTTTGACATGCATGGATTTAAAAAAAACAAATGACGTCGTACTGCCAAGGTCACATTTAAAAAAATTTGAAGTGAGTGAAATATCATTTCAGGTCTTTTAAAGCGTAACTACTTATTTTTTCGATTGTACAGGGTGAAACAAAAAATAATAACAGTAACATACAATACAAAAATAACAAGTTAACACGTAATAACACGTAAATCTTTTGTTGATAATTTTTTACAATTTAAAAAATAAGTAGGTACTTGCAAGTACTTGCAACCATGATACCTACATGATTTTTCACATGACCATTGAATAAAATGTGTACTTTTGAAAGTACGACGCTATTTTTAAAATTTTTTACGTCATAAAGCAGTAGGAACCGGAATCATAAAAATCTATATGATGTTTATTACATATTAAATTAAGATACATTATTTTTTGATTGGTTTTAAACCATATTTTCATTTAATCGACCAAGTACTAAGTAGCCAAAAAATTCAAGGAACCTCGCGTTATTTCTTTCATCATGCTAGATGCAAAAGTAATTTCAAAATATGAAATTTGCTGTATTTTAATGTTTGAATTAAACTCATTGGTAAGGAAAAGTATCCACTGATTTTATTGTTTAAAATAATCGGCGTCAATTTCAATTAATAGAATTTACTTACGTTATTTTACTCAATGTTTGAATTAACCATTTCAATCAATAAAAAAAAAATATGTTTGCCTATTTCACTCATTGAAAATAAAAGTCCATTCATTGAAATTAGTTTAATTCAAACATTAAAATACAGTGAATTTCATACTTTGAAATTACTTTTGCATCTAGTTCGTCTAAATAATATGTATGGCAGATTTCTTATGTCAGTCTTACCTTACAAAGTGACCTTAAACTTATGTAATGGTATGACAGATTTCTTACGTCAGTCTTACGTAAGAAAGTGACCTAAAACGTATGTAATAGTATGACGTATTTCTTACGTCAGCCTTACGTAAGAAAGTGACCTTACACTTAGGTAATATTATGATAGATTTATTACGTCAGTCTTACGTAAGACAGTGACCTAAAAGTTATGTAATATTATGACAGATTTCTTATGTCAGTCTTACGTAAGAAAAGTGACTTTAATATTACGTCACGATATGACTTTAATATTACATAAGATGTACGTAATATGTAAGTCATTTAATTACATCATATAAAAGTCACGTTTTGGGTCAGTATTATGTCACTATGACGTAAAAATTGTATTACCTAGATATGATCTACGTGTTACGTAAATTTTAGGTCATAAGTCACGGTTTGGTTCACTGGGTAGGTACAATGAACAAAATTACTTTTAATAATTTAGTAAATAAAACAAAAATTATACAGGGAGGCCCACTAACTAAACTGCATGTTTTCACAAGTTGTTCTTAAGTTTTTTTATACAGGAAGTTTCCACATAATATGATCAACGTAATAGAGACTTGTTTCCTATTCTGTTATACAGGGTGTCTACTTAAAATGTTCAACGTAATAAAGGTTGTAGATCTCATCAGAACATAACACTTTTTTTCAAATAAATATATTTTATTTGAGCTTTTGAGCGTTTATCAAAAAGGAACCAAGCGCCAAAAACTTTTTCTGGGGTAAACAAAATTATTTGCAAAAAATTAATAATGATGAATATAAAGTTCCAAATGATGATCATTATTCTACAAACAATTTTACCAAGCCCAGAAAAAGTTTTTCACAAAAATTGTATATATTAAACTGACAACTCAATTTTTTTTTAAATACGACAATAAATTACTGAGTTGATGAGATCTAGTGCCCTTATTACGTGGTCCATTTTGAGAAGAAACATCCTGTATATCGAATTTAAAACAATATAACAGTCGTTAAAAAACGTTGGTTTAGCAAAAC